GGTCCCGGGGCGCGGGCGGCGGCGGGTAGCGCAGGGCGGCAGCGCGGGGCGCAGCTGCGGAGCCGCGCGCGCTCCACCTGAGCGCGGGCCCGGGGCGCGTCCCTCGCGGCCGCCGCCCGTCTGCGAGCCCCGGAGCCCCGCCGCCTGCTCCCCGCTGGGACTCGGGCGGACCCGGCTGCCCGCGGCTGGAATTTTACAGGAAGAGAAAGTGTTCTTATGGCCCCCGCCTCCCCAAGGCTGCGGTCCCAGCTTTCAAGCGAACAATGTTGAATCGTTCCTGCTAATTTTTTACGCGCTCTTCATCCCAAGCGAATCCGTCAAAGAGTCTGCGATGTGGGATGTTCTCCAAGCATGGCTGTGGACGAAACTAACCCAAATGTGTGTTTTTAAATCCTCGAACCGCCAAGCCCGGAGTTTGCAAGAGCCCTGTGATTGTTTTCACCCCGGCCAGAGCCCAAAGTTTGGGATCTGGAATTCCAAGTAGGGTCTTTCCTTCACCGCATTCATGCGGAAAAGAGAGATTCTTGACAGATTATCCACTTTGCCACTTTTGTGAGACCATCTGATCAGATTCTAACGCTTTCGGCTTGCGGTTAACAGCAATCGCTCTCAGATTCGACAGCCTCTTTTATGAATCTTTTGTTAATTGAACCCCTAATCCCAGCCTCCCCACAACTGAATGTGCCGGTTCTTTGTCCATTCCTCAGAGTCTCCGCTTTCCTTGCATATATATATTCATTCCCCTGGTCTCTGCAGTCCCGTCGCGTGCTTTGCAGCCCCTCTTTGGGTTTGAAGCCCTGAGCTGGACACAGTTCTCAGACTCAGCCCTCTCTCTCCAAAAGACTATTTTGCTCATGCTCGGGTTCTGGCACACGGCAGGGAGAGGAATGCTGATTTTGCCTGGTTTGAGGGGAAAATAATAATCAGTTGATGTCGCTCTAGGTTGGAAAACTATTAGTCATTCAGACGTGGCCGTGCTGAGCACTGTTTGTTAGGCTTTCCCAGATGCCAGCGCAGAGGAAGGAAGACAGCACCCTGGGTCCCCAAGACTGGGCACCAGGCTTGCCCACTGGCCCCTATGAACTGGGTGATACCTTTTCCTAGTGCATGGGTAAACATTTTACGCTCAGTACTTGTCAGAGGTCCTGGTTCAGGGCCGTTTTTTATAGTGTGCCTCTCACCTCTTTTCCCAAAGGTGAAAGTCTACCTTTCATTGGCATTGTCGAAAACCAAACCCAGGAAGTATCTACACAACCAACGTCACTGAACCTTTCAGGAAACTGAAAGGTACTATCATTACGGTGTGGTCAAACTTCAGGGTTCACAACACTCCCTTGGGGAGCAAGTTAAGGCAATTTCACGCCAGCACTCCCCCGCTTTCTCCGCCCCCCCCCTCCCGCCCCCAGCGCCCCCACCCCCACCAGGCAAGTTATCTGGAGAAGCCGTGGGTGGGAATCCATGCTTACCAAGGCTGTCAGATGAATGTAATGCAGGTGGTTCTCCAAGCATGCTTTAAAATATCCCACTTTGTCTCTTACTGCTGCAAAGTCAAAATCAAATTCACCCATAAGAGGCTCAGTGTGGGTGCACGGGCCAGATTAGGGGCAAGAACCTCAAAACAAATGATAGGTGTAGCTGCTAGACAGAAATCAAGAAGGAACAACTCTGAGCCCAGCTCAGACACTGTGGAAGATGGAAGAAAAACTGTCCATAAATCTTTCCTTACAAAGACCATTAATTCAGATGTAAAACCAAAGAGGATCACAGTGAAAAAAATATAACTTGCTTGAATGACAACAGGAACCTTATGAATGTACGCTCAAGAACTTGCTGTATAGACCTGTATAGGACTATTCTAAGAAGACCAAATTATTTTTTTGAGGCATGAGGAACAAATCATTGTTTTTTAATTTTAACAAGTCATTTTATTTAAATCAATAGAAAAAACATCACTTCAACCTTTATTGCGACATGTTTATTCACTTTTTCATAATATTTGAACTCCAGTGTGTATGTTATGCTTACAGCACATCTCAGTTTGAAGTAGCCACATTTAAAGTTTTCAATGGCCACATGTGGTTAGTGGTTTCCAGACTTGGGTATTGCAAATCAAGAGTATTCCAGGATGTATTGCATTGACTTAAAGTGAAAGGGAGTAGAAAAGAAGAGGATGAGATTTCAAATATAATTGATTAATGAACTTTCCAGGAAGAACTTGGGAGAAATTATAATAAGCAATATAAAAGTTGACACAAACTGGTTAGATTTCTTTCTTCCGGTTTTTAAATGTACCATTTTTTTTTAAACAAATCATTTCAAAAAGTAAATTTATTATCTTGTTATATTTTGATAACATTTTGTGTGATCTAATTATACTTTGGTACTTTGGACAGCCTTAATGTAATAAGATACAATGTGTGATATCATAAATAGTAATTGCAAGGACCGATATCCAAGAATAACAGCTCATCCGTCCAGGCTTAATTCTCAATCTTGCATTATGAGAATTTAGAGGCAAAAATTCTTTTTAAATCTCAAATTTCTGCTGCATGTCGAGTGGAAGAGCTTTGGAATAAGATTCTATTTTTTTACTAACAATCCATATGATCTTAGCCAGTGAGGCTGAGCCAATGACATCAATATAATATGCCTTAATATGCTCATCTATAGGAGAGGGCGATGCATCATTTGCTCTATTGCATATAATGATGAGATTAACCTAAGATGACATGAAGAGAATCTTAGACAAATCCTATGAGCCTGTAAGGTGTCATTGATCTGAGATGCTGTGAAAATGTATGAGCAAATGCTTGTAAAGTTGGTAGATCTGGAAATGGCAAGGTACTTGCCTTTTTAAGAGGGGTGTGACATGACCAATCTGGAGAAGTTGGGGCTGGTGTGCGAATGGATAAGGGAATGAGAAAATTATTAAAATAATGGAATTTTCCACACAAAAAGGGTATTTTTAGCTCGGACTGTCCATTTTCTGGTATTTCCTTGAAGGAGCTGTAAGATTAAAGAGGTACATCTTTGTGAAGTTAACAACCAGTGACCATACTTGAGTTTGCCTGTCATTCTCTGTATCACCTTTTAGTTGTATGTTCCCTGCATTTTAAATTCTGAGATTATCTTGTACTGCTACCATGGTAAACACACAAATATTTATAGGCACCTGAATTCTCCACTAGGCTAAAAGACTTTTGTCCTAAAAGTACATACTGATTTTTTGACACTTTGGTGGTTTTTAAACTTTTGCCAATACTAACCTGTTACGGAAGGAGCAATTCAATCCTTGCACTGAGTTGCTTTAGAGTCTGTCGCTCAGTAACCCTGGATTCAAAAATACAGAATGGCATTTATTTCTTCTGAGCCCTGAAACATGAAAATAAAAAACTCTCAGCCTGGGAATTGTGTTGAAATACATAAACATATGAAACTTAGTGACTCAGATTGTTAGTCACAGAGTCACTGGTTAGAATCTGGATGAAATCCACTGTGGACAAAGGCCAGTAATAATGATGATGATATTTTGCTTTTCCTTAGTGCTGCACAAAACCCTTTATAAATGTTGCAAGAACAGAAGAAAAAGTGGCAAGATACTTTCTCCCAAATACTCAGGCTAAGTTAAGAATCTTGCTACCTTTGACGTATTTTTCCCCTTTACATAAATCCAGAAGAAATATAGTTGCAAATAATTGTAACACAAAACAACTTAAGCAAGAGCTTCATTAGTATTCAATTAGCATAGTAAGCCCTCTTTCATGGCCTCTTGTTTGAAGCAGACTGGATCCAATGTGTAGTCTTAGAGTAAAGGAAATAATGGCTCCATAGTAGTTCTTACAAAGAAAGCCAGGAGCTACATTCAGAATTATGTTTTGTATGATTACACTTTCATTAGTAATTAACCTTCCATGGAAGAACCCACTATGGGTAGATTTAAGCCTGCTTTTTTTGCAATAATGTCAGGCATGAGTAATATCATCAACACTAAGTGCTGGGCTGCCTCAGAGATATTCTCCCACTATCTCCCCATCTGACCGGAACAGGAATCGGATAGCTTCAGAGTAAAAGAATAATGCGTCCATGTGTCCTTCCAGATCTCAGAGTCCTGGCAGCCGACCTCAACTCTCTTGGCCACCATAAAGCAGTCATTGAAAGGACACAGCTGCAGGAACTGGAGGCTAAGCACTAAATAAATCCACAGGGCTGGAGGCACAAGTCATGTACATGACCCTAACACAATACCTTGTGGTTATGAATGAACGGATTAGCATCTGATGGTGCCGTGGCAGTTTATGCAAAATTAATTGGTGCCTCAGCCAGTGCTGAGTTTCTGATGAAAAGAAGTCCACTTCAAAAAAATAAAAATAAATAAATAAAAAACCCCAGACCAAGGAGATCTCCTTAAACTTTGGCTCATGTGGGGAGGCTGAAGACCACCTGGAATTGGAACCAAGCTGTTTATTCTCTTAACTGTACGTAGACCCTCTTTTGATCAGCATAGATGTCTTATACTCACGGGCAAGATCCCAGGAACTACTCCAGCTATCGCCAGTTTCTGGATTGTATTTTAGAAAGGAAGTAGGGGGAGCTTGGGAAAGAGGTTGGGGAGGTGTGGCTTGAGGCCAGGAGTTCTCTCATGGGAGGGAGGAGACTGAGAAAGAAAAAGAGATTGGACACTGGCGTACCTAAAGCAATACCTCCCAAGGTGTGTTTTGTGTCGCTTGTCTTTATATTTGAAAAAGATGAGGTTGTCATTCATTAGGCTGGAGAAATAATGAGATAAGTAAAGGTAAACACACTTCTATCTTGTGGAACTTCTCAGAGCTTGTAATATGCCAACACGTACTGTCAATATTCAAGAAGACTTTAGCAAAATGCAGTGTTTCCCTAACTTTTTTGACCATGGAAACCTTAGCAGGGGTGTTTTATAAAAGGTTTTTAAAATTACACTATCATGAAATATTTAAATTCATGCTTAAAAAATTTTTTTTTGAAGATTTATTTATTTTTGAGAGACAGAGAGAGACAGAGCGCTAGCAGGGGAGGGGAGGAGAGACGGGGAGACACAGAATCTGAAGCAGGCTCCAGGCTCGGAGCTGTCAGCACAGAGCCTGACTGGGGGCTCAAACCCACAATCCACGAGATCATGACCTGAGCTGAAGTTGGAAGCACAACGGACTGAGTCACCCAGGTGCCCCAAATTGATACATTTAATATTATCTCTCAGTAAGAGGTTTTATGTGGTCTTAAAGATACACTGAAAGAACTAAGTATTTCAATACAGCATTGTTTTCAAACGATTTATTGCTATGTTTTTCTTTTTTAAAATATGCAATAAAAACTTAAATAGACATGGCTGAGGCCTTTCGCAAGGCCGCCTCTCTGTACTGCCTTTCAAGTTGACACGAAACTCTGCATAGTCCTACAAGACAAGGAACTTACCCCACCCCCATTCATGCCTTCTTTCTTCCCCCCAGCTTGTGAACAAGATCAACTTTCTGAGTAGCGAAAAGAGAACGCCATCTCACCGCATCAATTCCCTTTGGTCTCTCTTAACGATAGTGTGGTGGGTTTCAAAGACAATTGTTTTTGACATTGCCAGCATAGAGACTATCCAGATGAACCAGTAAGCAAAGTTGGCATGGGATATAGCAAGTTACGCTGGATGTGGGCATGCTGGGCTCTTGGTATTTCCGAGGAGGTCTCTATCATATCCAGGACAATGGACATCTACTGCAGCACTCACATTAATAGTCCTGTGGTTTGTACTTGAAGGCACTGAGTTCTTTTTGTTTTCTCACTAGGAATCTCTTTACTATACTCACTGCCTCAGCTGTACCTGTAGGATTTATGGCAAGCTGAATCTGATTCCCAGAGGGTGTGACTCTTCCCGTGTCCCTTGGCATGGCGCTGGTGGCAGGACGAGCCCCAAACAGGGCTGTAGCAAGTCCACAGGGCTGTTTTCTGGGTCTGTAGCCAGGTACATGGCTGTTGAGTCCGCCCTGTGGGTGTCGGCCTGCTTTCTCCAAATGGTCTTGGGCTCCACCAGGGCTTCATAACCTCCAGCCTGGATCCAGAGCTTCCACAGAGGCGTTTGTATCCCAGGATATCTGCCAAATTATTGTCGTTGTGGGGGTTATGAGCAAGAGACCTCCCAGTCTGCCATCTTGCTGACCTGTAACTTTTTAAAAAGAATATCCAAATACATTTTTCCATTTCAAATTTAGTATGTGCAAGTAATTTTAAATCAGAACATTTGGAAGAATAGAAGTAAAACATGAAGGCATTTTAAACATGTTCTGGGGTCTTCCCATTTGCGACTCTAGAAAGTATCTGACATAGTTGTGGCTAAATGCTTGCTCTGTATTTCTACACTTCACTTCTCTGTTTTACACTCGAAGCAAAATAAACACATAACACAAGTATTTTTCCATGGTCTAACAAATGCTGTGTAAACATCACTTGAAACAGCAATGCCAACATTTATTTAGCCATTCTCCAATATGTTTTTATCACTTCCAAATTTTGATTTCATAAGTATATACAAATAAATATGTTTGTAATAAAACATTTATATGCATTTTAACCATTTCTGGAGGATAAATTCTCCAGAAATGGAGTTTCTAAATTAGAAGGTATAAATATTTTAAGGCTCTTGACATATATTGCTAAATTTAGCTTCCAATATTAATGTCTCTCTTCGATGGAAAATTATAGTAAGCTTTATACAATTTTTAACTGAAATTGAGTAAAATTTTACTGCAAAAACACTTTGAGGTTTGAGGAAAAGGGTGTTAGTTAACATATGTTAGAAGCTTAGCAATGAGAACTAATGAGAAAAGTCAGTTTGAATTTGTGATTAATTTTTAACTAAAGATTACTTTAAAACAAGGTGCTTTTATTGTCATAGTCCATAAAGTAATACCTAGACTAATGAAAAGTTTATGGTGCTCTGTTTCAGGCTTTTGGCTCCCAGTCAGGCAAAGTCAGCTTTAAAATCATACCTCACCACCTACCGGCTGACCTTGGGCAAGTTTCTTAACTTCTTTGCCTTAGTTTCTGCATCTGTTCATTGAAGATAATGTTAGTTCCTACTTCTTAAAGTCATTGTGAAGCTTGGATAAAATAAGGTATTCAAAATACTGAGTACCTCAGGAGTGCCTAGGACATTTCATCTATTATCAAAATAGAATAATTTTAAATGGAATTTCTAGTCAGTGGAACCTCTACATTAATAAATGGATCAGTTGAAGAGTTTTGAATTAATAAACCTACAATCTATAAAAGTTTCTTCATGTAAATGAGCTAACATTTTCCTTCAAAACTGTGTTATCAATTTGTTCTACATATGTATTGTGTGTGTGTGCGTGTGTGTGTGTGTGTGTGTGTGTGTGTGTGTAAAGCAAAAATAACCTACAGGAAAAGCTTCTGTTTAATGAGCACCAAGAATGATGGATTCTTAATTAAGAAGCTTATTTTTTATATTTTTAAATTTTACATTAGAAAGAAAACAATTAGTTTGATTTAATGATTTTAATCTTTGGAATATGAAGGATAACAGTAAAAGTGAACTTCAAAGTGTATTAATATACTTCGAATAAGCTTTTCTCAAACATAAATGCATCACTAATCTCAATATCTATAGTTTATATCTAAAGAATAAGTATAAATGGACCAAATTAAAAAATCATTTAGGGATGCCTGACTGGCTCAGTCAGTAGAGCATGTGACTCTTGATCTCAGGGTTGTGAGCTCAAGCCCCATGTTGGGTGTGGAACCTACTTAATTTAAAAAAAAAAAATCTTCACCATTTTTCACAGTGTTTCTGTAAGGAACAACTGGGAAGGTCTCATAGTGAAAAGGTGTCCCTTTGTGCAGAAGTGAGCATTTGCATTTAGTACTTGGGTGAAGCAGAGCTCTGTTTTTGTAGGCCATTTGAGATGCTATTCAGTTACTGCGGCCAGTGGCTTTCTTGGTTTGGTCCTCACTTTACCCCAAATTCTCCACTATTTCTTGGCTCAGCCAAACGATCAGGAGCCTCTTAAACTCGAAGCTCAGACCAACATGGACATTATCAGACTTTGTTCCTGGCTGGAGAAATAACCTTCAGGTTCTCTTCAGTTCATACGAAACACAGAAATGCCAACCAGTCCTCAAAGTCACAAAGGTGAAACATTTTAACACACCTTTAACTTAGGGCCATTCCAAGGAATTGGAGATTAGAAGAATCTAGTTTGTATGCTAAAGGCCAAATGCTTACCTGAGAAATAATTTCCTTCTCAACCTAGGATTGACGTCACTGGCCTTTCAAGCCCAGATTCCTCAGTGCGTTCTGCACATTTGGCCACAAAATATACACCCAGGTCACCTTTTACAGAGAATACAGGAAGGAGAGATAAGTGAGTCAGGCTTTTCTGACCGTCTGGGGATTCTGCCAAATCTTAAGTGGTGTAGACAGCCTTCAATGTGATAAATGTCACACCTGAACTCTGTACTCATTACCTTTTTCACCTTGACAGCCACGTCGTGTTACCTTGTATGTTATGACTTGTTTGTTATCTGGGACCTTTTTGCCTTCTTTTTCACTATTTTTTTAAGTCTTAAAAGTAATCTGTGTTTCTAAGTTTCTTGATTTAGGCACATATCCTGGGTCTGGTGCAGTGGTCTAATCAACTGGATTGCATTTTTTCTAATGTTTATTTATCTTTGAGGCAGGGGGTGAGGGTAGAGAGATGGGGAGACACAGAAATTGAAGCAGGCTCAACACAGAGTCTGATGAGGGGCTCGAACTCAGGAACTGCGAGATCATGACCTGAGCCAGAGTCAGACGCTGAACCGACTGAGCCACCCAGGTGCCCCTGGATTGCATTGTTTTTAAAAATAGTAGACTCTTAAAAATGATAAATGTTGAGAATTGGTACAGAAGTTGTCATTTGGGCATTTATTTAGAAACCCTCTTTGTATTAATACAGAAAACCTAAAACATAGGTTTTCAATGATTTCTCCTATTCTTAGAGAGATGGGACATTTTTGGAAAAGTTTCTTCAAATCTTCTTCCACATTTTCTCCTTCTTATATATATATATAAAAGGGAAACTCTGGCTTTACAATCAGACTGCGAAAAGCGATGTACAACAGAGTAGCGAAATTTCTCACAAGCCAGGTTACTTTCGTGTAATGAGAAAACCAGAAAGGAGATGGTAGAAGTAATTATCTAAACTCATTCGATGAACTTTGAAAACTAATGGAGAATGCAGGAAAGATGTTCCTTCTCCACCGGTCAGAAAGCTCTAGGCAACTCCACTGCAGTGAGATTCCTTAGGTTTGAAGGCCTAAAAGACCACCAGTGGCAGTGTCCTGGTGGGTCAATTCTCATGCATTTTATCTGGACTTAGACCAGGGTTTCTCAACGTTAGCAATATTGACATTGAGGAGGAATCAGTCTTCGTCGTGTAGGATGTAGCAGTCCCAGTTGTGGTAGTTAAAAATATTTCCAGAGAGTAACAAACACCCCTCCCAGCAGGTGGGAGCCCAATTGTTCCCGGTGAGGAATCAATGTCCTAGAAGAACTGCTCTTCTACTGGCCTCAACTGTCTCCTACTCTATTTTGAAGAGGTAAAGAAAAATGAGTAGCCGATAGCCAACAGACCCATGGATGTTAATAGCCCTCTTGGCTGTGGCATAATGTGAGAAAAGTTTGAGGGAGAGTTTTTTCTCTTTCACGCTTCCTGGAATAGAGAAACATAACCAGACATCAAGAAAACACTGACTATGTCTCCAACACAGAGAAACACATCAAGGTTTGGGCCAAAAAGCAAAACCAAAACTTGGTTTCTACAATTTTTCTCATTGACTCGATCAGTTTTCATTTTCTCCTAGTCCTTCAAAATAGGAATTTGAGTTTATAATATTAATAGAGCCCTAAGGTTCATTAAGATGCTTTCCACTTGAGGGGCACCTGGGTGGCTCAGTTGGTTAAGCATCCAACTTCGGCTCAGGTCATGATCTCGCAGTTTGTGCTTCTTGAACTCTGTCTCTCTCTCTCTGTCTCTGTCTCTCAAAAATAAACATTAAAAAAGTTAAAAAAAAATTCTTTCCATTTAATATAAAGAAAGATGAGTCTCAGGGGGAGGATGACCCATACACTCAAGACTGTCCAAAGTATTCATGTTTTTAAGCTTATTTATTTATTTTCGAGAAAGAGAGAACAAGAAAGCCTGCATGCACAAGCAGGAGAGGGGCAGAAGGAGAGGGAGAGAGAGAATCCCAAGCAGGCTCCACACCACCAGCGCAGAGCCCAACGCGGGACTCGATCTCACAAACCTCGGGATCACGACCTGAGCAGAAATCAGGAGTCAGATGCTTAACTAACTGAGCCACCCAGGTGCCCCCAAAGTACTAATATTTTAACTTTTTAAAATTCATGTATTTATTTTGAGAGAGAGCAAGCAGAGTAGGGGAAGAGAGAGAGGGAGAGAGAGAATCCTAAGTAGGCTCTGGGCTGTCAGTGCAGAACCCAATGCGGGGCTCAAACTCATGAACTGCAAGATCGTGACCTGAGCCAAAACCAAGAGCCAGAGGCTTAACTGACTGAGCCACCAGACACTCCCAAAGTACTAATTATTTGAATTCACAAGGCTTACAGCAGAATCTGGAAGTGATCTTCTTTTCTTACACCTGTCTTTAATATAGAACTGTGCAGGCTATGTTGAACAAGCCCCTGCATGGGT